TAAGTGACATTTGTTTTATCAGTGAAAGTCATTTCATGTCAGCTTTGAGTTTCATGAGTTTTCACCTTCACTCTCCCTGTTTTTATCTCTTTATGTCTTTACGTCAGCTATGGCATTGCTGGCAGCACCAATGTTACCGGTGACCAGGTGAAGAAGCTGGACATTCTGTCCAATGATCTGTTCATCAACATGATCAAGTCATCTTTTACCACCTGTGTGCTTATTTCTGAAGAGAATGAAAATGCCATCATTGTAGAGCCAGAAATGAGGGTAAGTGGGTCTGGGTGGCTGGTGGAGGAAAACTGTCTTTTCATTTGAATGTTAAAACAAAACCAGGGGTCTTTGCTACTCCTGAAGGCGCATGAGTGACATTAACATTTGAGGTTATTGCTGAGCCTGGAAAACCTGCTTTCATTTATTTGGGATCTCAACCCTGGAGTGACCCGACAGCACCCTAAACAGGATCATCCAGTTTTTTCCAGTTTTTGCCTTAAATGAAAATGTGTTTTTCGATCTTTTCCTCATGAGATCATATCTCAAAAAGTCAAAAAAGTGATTGGGTTTCAGTTTCTGCCAAAATAATTGTTATATGAAACTACTTTCAGACTGTCCCCTTGCACAGCAGTGATCAAACTTGGGACTCATTGTCACTGAGGGGTACAATTAAATGTTTCCTGTAAAGATGTAGCCTGCTTGTTGGACAGTATTTGAAGACACACAAATTGTGTTTAGTTGAGTATCGCTGAATATAAACATAAACTCTACAGGGCACCTTTTAACAACAGACATGAAATCATAAGTTATTTCTACCACTCTTCCTTGTCTTCCAGGGTAAATACATTGTGTGCTTTGATCCTTTGGACGGCTCCTCCAACATCGACTGTCTCGTCTCCATCGGAACCATCTTTGCCATCTACAAAAAGGTACTAACACAGGTTAAAGTTCCCATAATGAAGAGTGCTTGTATCCTTGATTTATGAGCAGAATGATATCATTTTACTGTTTTTAAATGAGCTGTTTATTTGAATCAGTCTGAGACTTTAGACCAAGACATATCACTTAGACTGAAGATATTCACTGACTTCACTTTTGGCCAATATCATGCCATAAAATGTTATACTGATTTACCCCCCAGAATTATATTATCCAGGGTTCCAAAACTATTAAAACAAGGTCTGATCCACTCCCAGACTATAATTTTATAGTCAGCAGCCCTCGAAGATAGAGCAATGCTTTTCAGTGGCAGTTACCATGTAAGTATATAGTAATGCCATTTCACTAACATAGTAAACTAAACGAATAAATGTAAGAAAAATACATTTGCCAGTGAAATGATAAATGAATCATGACATTAGTTCATATTGTTCCCCTCAGACCACAGACGATGAGCCCTGTGAGAAGGACGCCCTGCAGCCTGGCAGGAACCTTGTGGCGGCAGGCTACGCCCTTTACGGCAGCGCCACCATGATGGTGATCTCCACCGGCAACGGAGTCAACTGCTTCATGCTCGACCCAGTTAGTACTCTGTCGGAGGCCTTTTGTGTCTTGCAAATTGATTCTATACAAAGCACGTGGTTCCGAGGTTATTCCTAACATTTTCTGCTTTTTGCTCAACAGGCAATTGGTGAATTTATCCTGGTTGATCGGGACGTGAAGATCAAGAAGCGAGGCAAGATTTACAGCTTGAATGAGGGTTACGCAATGCACTTTGAACCCGCTGTCACAGAGTACCTGCAGAAGAAGAAGTTTCCTCAGGTAACACTCAACCAAATATACTGCTTTACTGGAGCAGTTGGAGTTTGTATGTATTTATTAATCAGGGACAACAGACATTAATCAACATGCATTCAAATGTAAATGTGCCAACGTTGTCTAATTTTTACCTGCAGTCTTGAATGAGATGTTTGTATTCTCAGATGTAGATCTTCTCCATTGCATGTTTAAATAGCTTACTAACGCAACATTTTAAATGACTGTAGGATGGCACCGAGCCCTACAACGCCCGTTACATCGGTTCCATGGTGGCAGACGTCCACCGGACTCTGATGTATGGGGGCATCTTTTTATACCCAGGAAATTCGAAGAGCCCCAAAGGAAAGGTAAGGTCCCATTGCTGCTTTCTTCTGCTCCTGCTCCCTCGCGTATTAAACTGCTGAGAGTTGGGCACAAAATTAGCACCAGCCAAATGGCAAAATATACAAGTGTCCAGTAGATTTCCTCATCAAGCAACAAAACAAAACAATGGTAATCTGCTGAGTGGCTGGTAAAACTTGAACATTATTTATATTCCATGTTTTTGTTATTGTCGGTACATCCCATGAAAGGTTTGTTCGACAAATCAAATTTGTGCGTTGCTCTCACCCAAAGGCCATCGGTTCCTACTGAAGACGTACATTTTTAAATACAGGAGGTGAATGAATACACTGCTTCATTTTCAAAAATGGGGCCAAATAATTTCTTAGCACTGCCACTGTAGTTTTTAGCAAATGTTACTCAGACAGGTGTAAATAGTGTGTTTGTTTTCCTTTTCTTATATTTATGGATGGCTTAAACTGGACCGTGAATGTTGGCCTATATTCAACCACGGGTTTGGTATGCTAGCAAGTATTTACAGCAGCAGTACAATGTATATGGGGTAGACTCAAAATAAACTACAGTGTCTATGTTCATCATAATGAATGAGCATGTCTCCCAGTGCAACAGTGTGGCTCATTGATGTGTTTAACAGAGGTCTATGACACAGAACAATTAGATCTATCAGGCTTTGGATAAACAGACAACACTTAATAGGATGATTTCATTGTTGGTTTGTGTCTTTTCATGAGCTTTGTTGATATTAACAAAAGTGTAGAATACCACCAGATTTAACCTTGAATAACATAATCAAACAACTATTCAAAAAAAAACCACTGTGCTGTGATATTGATGCTTTGAGCCATTTTCAGGGGAGACTTCCACCAAAAACAGTTTGTAACATGAGACCATACTGAAGAAAGTGTCACAATGTTGTGTCTTCACTCTCCACATCCTCTCAGTGTTTGCAAGACTGAGCCTAACAAGATGTTGTCACATTTTTAAAAGATGGCAAGCAGCTGACTTGAGAGAGACTGAGAGAGGGCAGTATAGCATCATATGAGGGGAGAGCCAGTTGACTACGTATGAAAGAGCTAAATCCTTCAGAGCATTGTAAACTAATAAGAACACTTTAAATTAGAATATTCCCATTGGAGAGTTTGACATTAGGGCCAGAAATTAAACTCCACCTCTTCCTCACAGCTGCGGCTGCTGTACGAAGGCAACCCCATGGCCTACATCATTGAGCAGGCGGGCGGCATGGCCTCCACCGGCCTTGAGACCATCCTGGACATCCAGCCTGATGGCATCCATCAGCGGGCTCCCGTGGCTATGGGCTCCGCCGAGGACGTCCTGGAGTACATCGCCATCTGCAAGAAACATGCCAAGAAGAAGTGAGAGTGCACCGACTCTCCCTCACAACCTTCACTATCCGGCAAAAAAACCGTGTATCTCCACACTGTCTACTTTCACAGGACTGAGGATGTCGGCCTCCTTTGAGCTTGATGTAAATGTATTTTTGATAATGTCTTGTGGAGTTTGAAATGGTTTAAATAATGTTGGTATTTTTCTCAGTTAAAACACAAAAATAACCAAAGTTGGAGTTTTCCCAAGGTTTTCATATCATACCAGCAATATTTATGTTTTATTTGTAGAAAGCTGACGGATAATAGACAGAAGGTGGTTCAGTGTGAAACATGGAAGCTCTGGCTGATAAGCTCAATATCAACGCACATTAACTTAACATTCCACAAAACAAATACCAAAGACCGAAAATGTGACAAATGCAATAAATAAAACCTGAAGACTTTTCCTCCTCAGTGTACCTCCAGTTGTGCCTTATTAGAATGAACATAGATTCTACACATGTGAAGGACCAAACACAAACCTCTGATACAAAACTGGATGCTTTTTTGTTATGTGAACAATTACTGTGGTATAATGAAGTCTCAATAAATTGTAATGAGAAGACAAAATCAGTGTTTTCCTCATTTTGAAATATGTGTAAAGTGTCATCTTACTAACTCACCCTTTCACTAACACGTAGAGTGTATTCATTGACAGTTACAGATGCAATCCGTGTATTTTACAGAAATTTAAGTATTCCAAGAAACATGCAGCCTTTTACATATGTGGATGGAAATACTGAATGGGAGACTAAATAAATAAATTTAAAATATATACTGTCTACAAAAGTTAAGAGATACTTTATCCAGAGCAGTTGACCTTTAAGCTAAAGGTCAGTGGAACCTCACGTAGCCCTGATGACATTTAAAGCTCACTTGAGCGGCCGTTGCGATGAAATCTACATGTAGCAACTGAGTCTTCTTCCACTCTAATAATTTTAAATTCACATCTTTCTTCTTCACTCTTTAACCAAAGTGTGTTGTAGCTCAGAAACATAAAATACTGAATTAAAACACCTAAATGATAGAAGTTGTTTTTAGTTAGTAGGTTAAATTAAGCATATGGAACAAATAGATTACATGATATTATGTACATGCTTGCTGAGTTCATTTAAAGCAAAATTGTGTTATGTTATAAATAATTCCAGCATGGTGCCTTAGCATTAGTAACCAAATGAACTTGGATATATAGAAATGTGTTCCTCTATTGTCACAGGCTCAGGTTTATGTGCAAAGAAATGTGGTTAAAATACCGAGAATTTACTTCATAGCTCTCATGTTACACAAGTGTTATGTTACATGTTGCAAGGCCTTTGACTAAACGAACGGTGCTTGTCTTGTGCAGGATTAAACTGTGCCAATCTCTACAGCTGCCACCGGACACCCCCTCTCCCATCTCCAAATACACACACACACACACACACACACACACCCACCCACCCACTCTCCTTCCACTCGACTGCACACACAAATAGATCCCCTGGCTTGCCTTCATGGCTCTGGGTATGAAAAGGACTTGGCTGGTAATGAGGTTCCTCACTTTCTCGCCGTCGTCGGCCCGATCTGCTGCCCACCAGGAGGGACAGAACGACCAGAACCCACCATGTCGGACCAGTCAGCATTTGACACGGACGTATGGACCTTGACCCGGTTCGTCATCGAGACCGGCCGCCAGGCTAAGGGGGCGACCGGTGAGCTGACCCAGCTCATTAACGCCATTCTGACCGCCATCAAAGCCATTTCCTCTGCTGTACGCAAGGCAGGCCTTGCACACCTGTAAGTACTGAGGTACTGCAGTAGGCTTATTGTCAACCATTGATATGCACCATAACATTATCATAGTGTGTATGAATAAACAAAGACTGATGTGCAGATCGGATCTTTTATAAGAAATAATATTGTTATGATATCTTATTGTACTTTGTAAGACGTGTGTTGTTTGCATCCCTCCACGGAGAGGTCAGAGGTCAAGGTCAGCTGCAGAACAGCAGGTTCAGGAATTCTAGCTGGCCGTTTGACATTTCGCTTCACTCCAACAGTAGATTTAGCCAAGAGTGACTCGTGGGGAGGCTGTGTTCCTACTGGAGGATTTAAAAGTTGTCTGATTTCAACACTCAACCATAGAAGCAGTGGAGAGACACAGTAGTGCTGATATGATTGATTGTTTAGTGCTGCTTTATTGTAAGAAAGACAGTGAGCTTTGTTTAATTTTAGCTGCATTTCAACACTCTAATCTGGAAGTGATAGAAGACTGTGCAGCTTTGTCAAGCAAGAGATAAAATGATAAAATTGTGATTGCACAACCTTTTTTATTTGTTGAAAAGTGACACAATAACAAGTTATTTATGACAGGAATTGACCTTGGAGAGAAGCCGGTGTTCTGCAGGGTTATGTGAATTCATTAAAAGGATCAATTTCTGGCTGTGGTCGTGAGGCCAGTCTGCCCTTTAGGCTGCATACAAATCTTTACATCTGAACACGTCCCTGTCTCTAATCTTAGCCTGAGTTTTGGAGCTTGTTGAGAGGGATACACAGCCTGAGTGTAAATGCTCAGCCCTTAAAGGCACCAGCCCCTATAGACCATTAAGTACCATCAAACTTAAGTCAAGTATAAATTAATATTTTAACTATTCTGGTTATACAGCAACCTCCTGTGATAGGTGCCCACAGGAAGAGTTAGTTGTTGACAAATGGTTTAATAAACACTTATGTCTGCTTACAACTATATTATACTGTTATGAGCTGTTTATTAAATGCTTGTATACTTCCTATAAATGCTAAATAGGGGGATTTTACATGTTACGTTTAAGTGTTGCCTAGAAAATATTCCATATGAAGGATAATTACTGAAACAGTGCCAACTCAAGAAGAATGAATCATTATTCACACACATTGAAGTTACGTAACCAAAAACAAATCAACATTGTTTGAAACCAAATGAAGATAATTAATGCACACAAGCTGGCTAAATCCATATTTTACATTTGACTGCTACACTGGCCTTTTTGATTTAACTAAAAGGAAAAAAAAGTTGATCATGATCCATTTTGTCTTTGTTGTCATGATGAGAGTTTTGTTTCCACCAGCTCTTCTAGCTCCTACAAGTAGCTGACATGCTAACATGTTGCCTCTCAGTCAAGTTCTATGTGTGTGAGACTGAAGCTTTGCTGCTGATTGGTCCGCACAGGCAGGGCTTGGCAGGCTCAGTGAACGTGACAGGGGACGATGTGAAGAAGCTGGACGTGCTGTCTAACGACCTGGTCATCAACATGCTGCAGGCCTCCTACAGCACCTGCTGCATGGTGTCTGAGGAGAACAAGGAGCTCATCATCACTCCCAAAGATAAGAGGGTGAGAGGGGAACACGATACGATAACACTGGATGATGATGGATACTAGGAGATTTTCATGTTTGAAGTTGCATTAGGCAGACTGTTGTGTAGGAATACACCTGTCCTATAATTCACAAGTTGAGTCAATGAGAAGGAGCAGGGAAACATTCTCCACACACATATATTAACTAATATCAGTGAGTGCTAAAGTGAGAAAGTTTGGCACATCTGAGAAGAGGAAAATGTTCCAGATGATCCTCGGGTAAAGAAGTCCTTCAGACTTTCAGAAGTTGAAACAGTTACATCTTGTTTCCACTTGGTGCCACCAAAGTGGGAGTTTACAAGATGCAACTTACAAAGCTCTGCATGGTAGCCTGTAGGTGGACCCACAACAGTGAACAAATTGAATTGAATTGAATGCAGTAAAAATAAGTTAAACAGGGAGTGCTGTGCTGATGTGTGACCACAGAGTCCTCTTATATCTTTTAAATAAATATTGCATATTGGCTGCTGCTGAATTAAACAACCCATACATTATTCAGAGGTGACTAACAAAGGGTCTTAGTAAATTAATATTAAAGTATAGTATCAAAATTAATATCAACAACTAACAACTCAATGCTGATTAGGTCTTCTTGTGACTCCGTTATCCCTATGTTGAGCCTGGCAGTGATCATTATATGTCATTTAAAAAAGGGCATGGAATAAATGTTTATTTGGTTATTCATTGTTTATTTATCAGGGACAATGTTCAATACATGTAAAGTGCCATATATAGCTAAAAGCTCATTTTCATCTGTGGCCCCTGGGCAGAGGCCATTAGTGATGTGCAGGTCACAGAAATAAAAGATCAGTAGTAGTAAATCAAAACCTTACTGTTATTCTCCCGTTGCAGTTACCTTACTGCAATGGGACAAAATTCTGATTTCAATTTAATAGAAGTGTTTTCCCTAATTCTTCATAACTTCTTGGCCTGATTTTATTTCGTCCCAGGGAAAGTACGTGGTCTGTTTTGACCCTCTGGATGGCTCCAGTAACATCGACTGTTTGGCTTCTATCGGCACCATATTTGCCATCTACAAACGGGTGAGTCTGACTGACCTCTGAGAAGATACACAAAGCATGCAGGCACTGAAAAGAAAATTCTCATATCACAAAGGGTTCATATTTACTGTTGTTAAGTAAAAAAGAAGAATCAGAAGAATGCCCTATTTTTTAAATTATGTAACATGGACTTAAAGTTCATGAGGCGTTCCAGATAGAGTAAATCAGATCAGATAAAGCATGTAATGTACTAGGAGAGGATGCAAAATCCCTGCAGCAAAACTCTCTTTACATAACACAAATATGTAGATAAGCTTATAAGCTTTTTTCCAATAATTATGATATTCATCACATTTTATGAAACATGAGTATGTGAGTGAGTGTGAATAGTTTTATGGTGACGATACATCAGGATATTTAAATACACAGCTGAACATGCAGTAACGCTCTGCAGACACAAGTGGGCCCTGCTGTCCAGCTAATCCAGTTTTCTGCTCCTACACTGCAGCCACAGGGAGTCCTTTGCAGAATTGCAGTCTGGTTTATGAATGTGACTTTCTCAGACAGGTTCAAACTGTATATTTATATCATAACTCACAGAATGTTTTGTATTTAGCACCCTCATTATAGTTGTTGATTGAACAGTTTTTGCTGTTTTAATACAATCCTTGAAACAAACACTCCTAGGTTAGTGGCAACTGAGAAACTGAATGATTCCACTGTTGATGTTTACTTCTTTGTTGGTTTATTTCCCCCTGGGTGGTTCAGGTAACAGACGGGGAGCCCACTGACAAAGATGCCCTGCAGCAAGGAAACAACATTGTGTGTGCAGGCTACACTCTGTACGGCAGTGCCACCCTGGTGGCCCTCAGCACCGGCGCTGGCCTCAACTTCTTCATGTTGGACCCTGTGAGTATTTCATACTCCCTCCCTGTTTTCGGTGGAGACCTGCGGGTCAGTAGTGCTCTGTGATGGTTGAAATGAGAGAAAGTGAGGTACCCTCAAATATCCACTGCTGTCTTCTTTCATTATTCTCACTGTTTACTGTTATATGCTTTTATTGCTCTATATAGCTGCTTTTATTTGAGAAAACACTTATTATACTGTCAATCATTCCTCCATGCTGCCCGTCTACCCAGAGCAACCAGGGATGCAGGGACTGTAAACACATAAATCCCTTTTTATGTGGCAGAAAGTGTGCCACTTTAACTATCCTTGTATAAAGTATAACTCATATGATGTAGTATAAAGGTCTTCAAGGGAAAAAAAAGGTGCATACATTCAAGACTGGTTTAAGGATATCAGCCATATTTGTATGTATTGATGGTTGTTTCCATTTTCAGTATCCCTGAATGGAGGTCATAGCTCATCTTTTTTCATTTTCACATAATATTTAATCACTTTTTAGTCATCTTTTCGTGATCATTCAGTCAGTAAAACCCTTGTATCACCTTCCACACTTACCCATATCATATTGTTCATCTTATTCCAGATTAAGATTTACCAGCAAATAGAAATCTACAAGGAAACATTTTTTCTTTTGCTCAGAGGCAACAGCCGATCATTGGGAACTTGTCTTTGGAAAAGCAGCTTTAGTTGTTATAGGAGGAAAAGGTTCACCATAGTAATGTTGTTGTTATTTTGCATCCAGAAACCTGTGTTTTACTGTTTCCAAGCATACAATTCACAAACCACAAGACCTATGTTACAATACAGAACATCTATCTTTACACACTTCATTTTTTAATGGACAGCAAAATACAGCACATTTTCTTTCCCTGGAAACATCAGAGTAAGATTTGATGCCTCAGTATCCGAATCCAGAGAGGTCTCCTCTTACACAGTAAAATGAACACAATGTACATTGGTGTTCCTCAGGCCATCGGTGAGTTCATCCTGACTGAGAGGAACGTGAAGATTAAGCAGAAGGGGAAGATCTACAGTTTAAACGAGGGCTACGCCAAGTACTTCCACCCCTCCATCAACGAGTACCTCAAGCACAAGAAGTACCCAGAGGTGAGAGCGTATTACAAAATTTAACACCATATAGAAAGTACCACAAACACAAACATACAAAATTCCCACTTTAACTTGAGTTTTGACATTGATCAGTTCTACTTTGTGTTTGTGGTTTTGAATCTGATATCTTTAACCAAAGCTGTACAATAGAAATGAGCCTCATCTCCTCTCAGAGCATCTATTTTGCTGACACACAGCGACACTCATGCTCAGTCCTGAGGCTGGATTTCAAACACCAGCAGCCTCTTGCACTCATCATGTGAATCCTGACCAAGCGTTTGATCCGGTAGAATGAGTTTACATGAGGACTTTTGGCTTGCAGAACAAAAAAAAGCTGTTTGTTTCAAAGGGTATCAGCAGATTGGACTTCTTTTAATGTTTCTCAACTGCAGAAAATATATTTTTTTTACTTTCCCTCTAAACAACTGGCCTTTTCAGCCTTTTTAGCCTTTTTAGGGTAGGAATTGGCCTCCTTCACTCTCTCCTCCTTTCATTTTATTGTGAAAGTAAATAGTGATGTTAAATAATTTGCCCTTGTTGGCTGGTGGTATGGTTCGCTGCAGCTCAAACAGACTCAGTGAAAGCAAGATCAATTACTAATTATTAGCAGTTTGCAGTTGTTTTAGTGGTCATTTTTGCTCTTTACAATTACATGTTCAAATAAAATGGCAGAAAGTTATGATAGCAGAGCGCACTAGCTAACAAAGACAGTTTAAATATGTCATATAGCTTTATTAAACAAACCAATATAAGGAAATGCAAGATAACATTTTAGTTTTAAAAGTAGAAGTAAAGATGCTTCATGCATCCAGGTACCGCAGGTAGAGTGGGCAAAGAGTAACCATCCTAACCCAGACATGTGATTAACAGTCAGTGGAGCATGACACTTGGGTCAGACAGGATGAAGGGCGGTAGCTCGGTCAGCTGAGCTGCAGTATGGTGACACAGTGCAGGAAACATCGTGTTCCTCAGGAAACTGCAGCGTCTCATTTGGAAACTCTGATCTTCACACACATGCACACTCAGCACTTCTCCATCATGGTCACAAACATGAGTGCAAAGTTAGTTTGGTCATCGGCATCCTTTTCATCAGGAATGTGTTCACTGATAAATTGCACTTTAATGAAATATCAGCTTAAATGTCTGTCCATCTCAAAAATCTGTAATACTTTATTTGATCCTGTTTCTCTGTCTGTCTGTCTGAGTATGTTTCAAGCACTTCCACCAAACTATGACAAAATACACAGCCTCCGCTTGTCATTATAACAGATTGCTGTTTATATGTGTTTATATGTTGAAGCTGCGCTTGCTGATTTTGGTTGCGGTAGTGCTGGAGAAGCAGCATTCAGTTTTTATGCACCACATATCTGGTACAAAAGAAAGCTTGATCCTATTTAACTGTGTCTTTTTATTTTGTCATGTGTTTGTCTTATGTAAAGAACTTTGCATTGCCTTGTTTTTGAAAGGTTCTATACAAATAAACTTGCTTTGCCTTTTATTCTTTTATAGGTATTAATTTAATGCTAGAATAAAATACAAGCATTCAGGTTATTTTTATATTATTAGTTAATTTAGTGGTTCAGTATTTTTTTTACAAAGTTTTCGTGCGGTTATCAATGAGTCACCTTTCCTAAAAGTACATTTTGTAAGTGTCGACACACATCTTCTACCAGTTAAACACTTGTTGAACACTCATCATCATGTCACACATAACCATCATGACCTAGCACAATGCAGCAGTGACCAGTGTTACTCACTGTCGTACGCACGTTGTATTATGAAACAGCAAACACCTGTTGCACGAGGTTGAACTTAAAAATGCAGAAGTTGCTGGAAAGACCCTTAATGAAGTTTAAAACTACTTTAAAGGTGGTGACCTTTCTCCTTGTGAAACACCTCAACATTAGAATCAATCCTCTCTTCTCTTTTCTAAACCAGGTGTGCTTAAAAACAGGGACTTCCAACTTGTCGCCTGCTGAAACAAAATTCTGCTGTTGGCAACTCGCTATCACAGGTTGTAAATCCTGAACGATTTTCAAGGTTAAGTCTGGGAAATCGGATCTGATTAGTCCACAAATCTTTTGATAACTTCCTAAACCATCCGCCATGGATACAACATTAATGTAAAATAAGATAATGTGTCATTCTGGGTTGGATTTTCATTTTAAAAAAAGTAAAATGATGAACCAAATGTAAGAAGCAGAAGCAGATGATTTTAACACTAGATGTATAATACTGACATTTAGTTCACACTCACACTAGGTTGCAAACACCTGCTTGCAAAGTCAGGTTAACACCACCTGATCAGTGCACTCTGGCTGACGTTAATTTCTATGCACATTTTTCCCTCAACAATGTTCCCATGCTCTTTTGCTACTTCCTCTACTCTTTCTTTTTCATTTTCACTTCAATTATTTAAGGAACTTTCATGTTGTCTCAACTGTTGCCAGCTGGATGTGCTTTTTGTGTTTGTGAGTGTTGCATAGTTTGGGGTGGGTATGTTTTTTGGGAAATACTATGTATACACACTTACACACACACACACTCAGGATGACTGGGATGTGACTCAGCAAGCACATGACTCTGTATCACGTTGTGCCGGTCTGAACACGAAGCTCCCGTCAGTCTCCACTCACGTTCTACTTCACACTGACTGCTGTTTTGGTGCACTTTGCTCACTTTGACTTTGGTGCATTAAACTTGGTGGAAATAGATCCACTTTCCACAAATAAAACTGATCAAACACTGAACGATTCGCATTCTGAAAGTCCACTTGAAACAGCCTGTCTTTGTAGGAGAGTGTAATGAGTTGTGTGCAATGCAGTGAGTCCCTTCTTTAATGTATGTTCCAGCTGCTGCACATGGACTTTGACCCGTCTGTTGTTTTTTTTTTTTTTTCTCAGCAGCAGGTCAGAACGGCTCATGATCTCTGAACAAATGCAGATCTGCTGAAGCTGCAACTTTCAGCCGCCTGACCTTTTTATACATCACCCTTTATAATCAAACAGTGGTGTAACTATATAATAACAATGCACAGAATGCATGTAACCAAACCAGTTTTCTCTCATACCAAAGCCATATTTTATGTCCTGTCTCACTTTACAAAACTGCTTTGTAACTGATCCCTCAAAAAAGAATGTTATTGATCATTTAGTTCTCTATCAGTGAGCAAATAATTCAGTTTGTCTTTGTCAACAGAGAAAGAGCCGGGTAAGCGAATCTCCAGCCTTGCCTTTTACATGTAGAATGGTAATTCTTTCTTGTAAAACACTTGTTTAAAGTTAACATTGTTTTTACCAAACAGTTCCCATAAAAGGTACAGGTTCATTTCAACCTGTCAGGCTGAAATAGTCAGTAATGTCAGTAAAACCTCAGTGTCCATGTCCAGTGTTTGTGACCAAACTGGTGTAGACCATGTGTAATGTTTTCATTAGTGTATAATCACCTGAAAATAAGAATCATTATGTTTTCATTACCGTTTTTATCTGCAGAAGAAGTGGATCCTCTTCCACGGAGGCCGCCATGATGAACCGCCATGTTTCTACAGTAGCCCAAAACGGACAAACCAAACACTGGCTCTAGATATAGCTTATGGTTTTTGTTAATGGCCAGTGTATTTTCTCCTACATGCTACAACCAGTTCTCAATCCGAGGTCGTCAGATAGTGACGCGCGAGGTATTCAGTTGGTTGCAATCTGCAGCTTCACAGCTAGATGCCACTAAATCCTACACACTGGACCTTTAAAGCCGACTGATGCAGGTTATCTAAGTGGTCGAAACAAGAGACATGTTCATACAAGTGACTGTATTGTGTGGCGTCGACTGTTTTCATGGGCATTTCGAAGGAAATTGGAGAGCATGTTATCAAGTTAATCGGTCAAAACACAAAACAACTTTGTTGTTTACAAGTGTTTGTCTGGTGAGCTCCAGAGAATAGAGATAACCTGCAGTCATGTGTATCTATAAAAAGTGTTGTAGACAGCAGCCTTTAAATAATCAATTATCACAGTAACTTGAGAAGGAAACACTGAGTTCACAGAAAGGCTTTGAGTGGATCTTCACTACTCCAACACATATAGTGAGGTTTTTAATTTAGGCGTAAAAAATTTTATACAGGCATATTCTGTGGGTAATGCTTTATCACTGGAATCCAATCACATGAACCACAGCTGCTCTTCGCTATGAACGAGAAAACTACTAACGTTCAAGCCAGTAGAGGGACATACTGAAAGGAATATCACCTATAATACATAAAAGTTATATTAAGCAGAGACACAGACTAGACTCTTGCTACAGTCATGCGCTAATATTTAAAATGTACCTTTGTTTTCTGCAGGATGGCAGCGCCCCCTACGGAGCGCGTTATGTGGGCTCTATGGTCTCAGATATTCACCGCACCATCGCCTACGGAGGGATCTTCATGTACCCCGCCAACGAGAAGAGCCCCAAAGGAAAGGTACACATTGACCCTAACCTCAAGTCATCAGAGTTTGGGATTTCCTCATAAGCCTCTTAAACAATGCCAGTTATTAACAGGGATGTACTGGCTCTAAATGTTTGCCTCAGAGTGGCCTACAAAAAACTAAACTATATAGTTCCTATTAAATCATGGTGAAAAACAAGGCAATATTTTGAAATAGAAAATGTGTTTTTTAGGGGACAAAGTGTGTAGAAATGAATTCATAGAGTTGGCTTGAAATTATTTAATGATATAATTCCACCATGGGAGTAAAACTGAATCAGAAACAAACAGATATTCACCATAAAAACTGTACCAGTGGTGAGCCTTGAACCCCAAAAGTTTTGTACCAAAATCTTACTAAGACACCAGGAAGTTAAACCAGTGACCCAAACTGGTGAGACAGTTATAGCAGAGCTACACTATTGTAGCTTTTTGTCTTTTCCGTGTTGCATGATCAGCCCAACTGTGAGATGATCTGACTCTGACTCAAAACTAGTACAAACTTCACGCCCATATTTCCAGTCTGCCGCTGATTCTGAACCTCCACAGCACAGGGCACTGGTTCTAGGTACCTCACAGATTCAGGCCCTCATTGACAAACAGTACAGTGGCTCTTACTGTAACCTGAGGCTGGAGGTGTTTTTCTCGTCCTGTGATAAATAAAGCTCAGAGACCGTCGAGGCTAGTCATAAAGATAAATGACAACCTCTCACCCGTTTACCCAGGACATAGTGTCATTATTTACATCTCTAACTGTATTTTATTATTAATGTGCTCACATTACAAAACAAAACATTAAAATAACATTATAATTTTGACTTTAATAACGGCGTGTGATTAAGTGAAGTGGATCAGCTTTTGATGGTGTCTTTGACCTTAATGATCCTGAAAACATTACAGCATAGTTTGTCTCATAATGACCCAGATCCTAATTACTGACTATTAACTTTATGTATTACATACTAAATGTAGGCAAGGCAGGTTATTTATTTAGCACATTTAAGTACAGTGGGAGTTCAAAGTGCTTTACAAATTGCATAAAATAAGATAGAATAAGAATAAGAACAAAAAACACAATTGAAGCATTAATAAGGGATTAGGGTTGTAAATGGTAAAACCAAAGCTGGAAAAAGTTCAAATATAGGCGTAAACAGAGTCATAACCCACTGTTCATTTTAAATGAGTGTTTCAATGTGTACCTATCACATGTTACATGTAACACAGCAAACCAAAGCACCAAATTCAGGCCGGTTTTCACATAGATGTCATTCAGTGAGTACTGGGAACTGAAACTGTTCAAACCGGCTAACTTCAGACAATATTTTTAGTAAATCGAATGAGCAAATGGCAACCACGAGCAGGTCTCAGAATCTATAAATGTTTTCACATTGTATAGATATGGCACCTGATAGCAGGATATGCTACTTCAAAACAGCTTTTTTTTTAACAGTTGGATAACATCTAATGATTCAGACAAAATCAGTACAAATGTATTCTTTGTGTTCATTAAAGAGGAAATCTTTTCTTCCATAAAAATACTGTGTGAAAAAAGCGTATTTAAAATACACTTAACAGTGTTTTTCTTTAAATCCTCTCTCCAAAGCTGCGGTTGTTGTACGAGTGCAACCCCATTGCTTTCCTCATCGAGCAGGCGGGAGGCCTCGCCACCACCGGCACTCAGAGGATACTGGACGTTCAGCCTGAAGCGCTCCACCAGCGGGTGCCCTTTGTGGTCGGCTCCCCTGATGACGTCAACGAGTACCTGTCCTTCGTCAAGAAGTACCAGTAAAGCTGCGACAGTTTATTTTAGGATTAGGATTATTTCTGTTATTTCTATGAAAGAGAGGCAGAAAGGACAGACGGAGAAAAAACGCCAAGAAAGTTATTTTTGGATGTCAATGCGTGTGTTCCTGAGATCAGAAGATATTTTGTCATTTTTCTGTAAATGTATGAGTTGTCAAATCTTTTGGTCATAAATCACTAAGTAAACTTAATATAAAATTAATTCCTCATTTAAATAATTCAATCAAAACCAGATTATTTTTCCATTATTATATCATTATTATAATTGGGCATACATTTTAATATCATAACACGGATAACATGGAGTTCAGCTTGTCCTCGCACATCTTTTAGAACAAAATTTCATGTACCTCTAAATTAAAAATTCAAGTTACAGCAACATGATAACGATTTATTAACACAGCTAAATGTTTCTAAATGACCTGAATCACAGCATTTATTCTTGGTTTGCACAATATGTCCTATATAAATATTTACCATAACAAGAAAGAGGAAGAATCTGTTTCTTATTCACTAATGATGTATTTTTGAATCTTACTGACTCTGGGAAGAGCTGCACTGAGATTCTCATTTCGAGCTGCTGATAAAGGTTGTTACTCTTTTACCTGCAGTTTCTCAGCCAATGCACAATAAAAATAAACTGAATTTAATCTACATATTTTCATATATTATTCAATCTTTTTAAGAACCAGTGGAAATAGTTATATATTCAATATATCCTGATTGTGAATCTAACAAGTTTTTTGTGACAAATTACAATCAAAGCATCTCTACATGAAACTCTGTCTGGCTCTTGAGGAAATGTTGGAAAAAAAGAGTGTTAATGAATGAATAATGAACTGCTGTTATTGGATCAATAGTTATTTCTATTTATATGGTGCCACAAGAGGATTAGGTTTATTGCCATGTAGGATTTCCTCTGTTGGCCAAATTATCCGTAGCTCAGATCAGATCAAATCTGTTTATTTTGGTAGAAAGTAAAGGAAACTGTCATTCCATCTTTCCTTCTTTCTTTCCTTGTTTCCCATCTTCTTTAGTTTCCTTGTTTCTTTTCATTGTCTCTGGTTTACATCCTTCTTTTGTGTCAGTGTTTGTGCAATGGGTACTCAGACACAAATACTGATAAATAAATACATTTAGAAATTAATGACATAAATAAAATACACAATAAGTAAAAAATAAAACTAAATGAATCCAAGTACCCTCGACAGACCCTCGTTTATTTATTTATTTAGTTTCCTGTACAATTGTACTGTCTGTTAATTTAATGAAATGCCATGACAAAATTTGCCCAATTTGGTGGGGAAATATATTAATATTAATATATTATAACTTATAAATGTTTTGTTTTAAGTTTAAATAAGTTAAATCTAAAACTTCTGGAATCGGACTGTAAGATTTACACCATGTGCTGAATATTAAAGTTGTTAAAACCCCAAAATATTCACAGAGAAAACAAAGACTGAGACACTGTCCTTAATGGTAGCTATACAGGACTTTAACCAGGAAACTTTTTCTGTGAACATGTTTTTTCACTGCTGTGAACACGACAAATGAAATTCCATTCACCTCCATTGTTGTGGAGCAGTGGCAGAGATTTCAAAGGCAGATATCTCAAAATGTTGGAACATAAAACCTGAACTATTTGCATGGCTGGACACCACCCGGGGTAAGTGAGAGAATATGTTTAGGTTTTTGTTGCGATTAGGTGAACTGACCCTTTAATCACTCTCTCTCCCTTTGGCTCCTGTCCCTTTTCTTAGGTTGCACAACAACAACAACAACAACACCACATTCCTCCAGCTGCTCAGTTTGCTCTGCATATCAGAATGGAGTGAACTCTGAGGTGAAGTATAACAGATACTGCAGTATAAAAGTGCTGCGTTACCAGCATTGAAAAATACTTAAAGTTGCAGAAGTAAAAGAGATAGATAGACAGACATCCTAACGTTCATATAATCCTTTTGTTTCACCATTTTCTGATTTCCACAAACACCTAATACCATCAGGACTCGTGTAAAGTGACGTTTGCTTATGAATCACCACCATTGTTAAAGAATCAATAATCCTATAAGAGCCCAGTACCAGACGTTAGGGAGCACAGCTGCTTTTACATGCGATCATATGACTCAGTCTTTGCTCTATATATTTCAAACTAGCATGTGTGATTACCAACAGAATACAGCTGACACCTCATTTAGTGCTCTGAACAGCACAATTAAACATGAAATGTTTGGTTCAGTCACAAGATTAAAACATACATTCTTAAAAACCAATGATTGTGTGATCAATTCTATTTATCTGTAACAGCAAATATTATACAGTGACACTGATCACTAAATGGATCAATGAAAACAAACACCCTTCTGGTAGTGCTGTTATAAGAGTGAGTCTGTAGCAGTTAGCAACAAGATCAATAGAGATGACTGATTACTTAATGGTTGTTAAGCACCATCGATAGCTATCATAACAGTGCTTTGCCATATGATGCAAGACATTTTATTTATTTTCCATTCTTTACATTAAATATAGTCCTATGGTTGTTTATTTTAAGAGAAACAGAAATACAATGGCTGCACTATGGCGTTTTATGTACATTGTCAATGTGAAATGTGTGCAGCTCCACATTTGTTGATCTTGAAATTTTCCAGAAACTGAAATGTTGAGATATATATATAGATCTATCTATATCATCTCTATATCTATATACACACACACACTATATATGAGAGTCCTTCTACTTCAGTTACACCCATTGGAATGTCTGAAAAATACACGGTAATGAAGCTGAACGTAAAGCTGCTCATGTGCAGTTGATGTTTTCAAGGTACGTGGTATTCACAGAGCAGATATTATTTGAGAAATGATCAAAAATACTCCAAACATCAAACTAGTGTTTCACAACTTTAATTGATCACAGTAAAAGTAGAAAAAAAATCATTTACAATGACCGAAGCAAGTGTTAACATATCACTTACCAAGTAGCATACATATATTTACAAAGAAAAACACACTAAAACTAAAATCTTTTCATAAAGTGGCATAAAACCAGCCAGAACAAAATGGCGCCATTTCCCTAAAAACAACAGTGTTTCTTCTCAAACATCACAGAATCTCCTGTCAATGTGTCGCACTGACCGAAGCCTCATTCCTCGTCTTCAGCCGAACTATTGCAATAAAAAACACTATGGTGCTACAAAGTGGAACTGTGCAAACGTTAGACGAGAGGATAACTGGCTGCTGTCGCAATTCCACAGTGGTTCTTTCTGTCTTTGGCCATGTAGATGTAGCCTTTGTCTCCCCACTTTTCACTCCAGCTGCAAAGAGAGAACAAACAAAAGGGTCAGGGAATGAGTGGAATATAATATAAATTTGATTTAGATTCCTTGACAGAATTTGCACTTTCAAAATCAAAGGGACGTGAGCTTGTTGAATTACTTCTGTAACAACATTCCTCTGTACCGTTAGCCCCATAATGAATATCGTATACATCGAGCAACCTGTTGCATTTTAGGTTGAGAAGTTCAATAAATTTCAGGAGTTGTAGGTCAACGCAGACTGGAAGTAAAATTAACCAAAATGTATGTAAATGTATGTTTGTAAAATGTAAAATGCTCCAATTCCAAAATTTAAGTTCAATATTTCACACTGACCTGTTCTTCACAATCCAGTATTTCTTGCCATCCACATCCTGGCCCTCGAAGCCATAACCGACCACCAGCACGCCGTGGTCCAGCTCCTCGCTGCTGCATTCCTTCTCATAGTAGATTCCTAAAAAACAAACAAAAAAAATCCCACTCAGTTTAGGCATCCTAAAAACAGATACTAGCAAAAAAAGGAAGCTTTAACAGTTTCTTCACAACGTTCAGAACTGACCTGACTGGTAGAACTGGAAGGATTCGTGCCCGGCATCAATGGCGACTGAGACGGGTCCCACGGCGGCCACTGCCTTCATCAGAGCGTGCTCCTTGCCGCTGGGGATGTCGACGAATCCAGTGTCGTTGGCAGAGTTGTAGTTGGGGTCGTAGTGACACGGCTGGTCATCCTGAAGGAACACAAGAGGAAGAAGAGTGTGAGATGTAGAAATGACCTTAAGGAGCAATAAGATCAATAAGATCAATAAAAGGTGAACAGCCGGCTATTCAGAGATGTCTGCGACTGCTTTTTCATCCCGTTTAAACATGTAACGTTTGGTTTATCGGAGGAGCTTCGATAGATTGATGGATTTAACAAGGCATTTAAAAGTAAAACAGCCTCTTTTAACGGTATAAAACCATTTTCTACGCGTCTACTTGACTACCCTCCTCCCGTCAGATACGTACTGTTCCCAGGTAAGGGTAAGCGTCCTCAGAGTCCAGGCCCTGGTTGTCCTTCACGTACTGGAAGGCCTGGTCCATCAGACCGCCGTTGCAACCCTCATTGCCCTCGGGCCTGGAGCAGTCCACCAGGTTCTGCTCACTCAGCGACACCAGTTTGCCCGTCTTCCTGAACTGCTGACCCTCCAGAGCTCCGGTGGTGCTGAAGGCCCAGCAAGAGCCACACTGACCCTGCGAGAGAGAGGGGGGGGGTTGATGGTTGTGTTAAGACTGGATGACAGTGAAAAAAGAAAGAGTTAAATCCCATTTATTTAATTATTTTTTTTAAATTTTCTCATGATTTTACGATTTACAATTTCTCAGGTTCTTCTGGTGTCGGCCATTTTGTTTCCATTACTACCGTTTTTAACTATTGCCTCAAAAAACATTTGATACAATCCCCTTCTGTACAGACTAATAGTTTTTCTGTTTGTATAAAGGCATCCGGCCTGTAACAATCTGGTATCGATTAATTGAATTAAATTGGACGTTGCACTGCAGCACTTTCAACTAATGTGTACCGTTTGCTCTGCCCTGTCCTGGTTTACAGTCAGCTGCGAGACCGGTTTCAGCTTACAGGGTGTTAATGTATAGCACGCCAATGGGTGGAGAGACCAAACTGTGCACACAGGGAGGAGTGTTTGTGTGTGTGTGGACCAAGTAGATAACAACAACAACAACCTGCAGGCAGCCATCTTATCTTTCTGCTCAAGCATTTACTTCAGTGGACAAAGTGTCCTCGCTGCTTCAAATAAGTACATTTTTAGCGATGCAACTGTTCAAGTTGTACATTACGTAATAGTGTTTACAGAGTTTCTTGGACAGCTGATATTAGCTCATGCTTTTGGCACATGCGAACATTAAAAATAAGATCTTGTGGTAACTGTGTTTACACCAGCAGAGTGCCTGTCACTGCAACAACAACTACACTGACAGTAACAACACTTGACAATAAAGACTCAAATACTACAAGACTGGAGAACAGAGGCTTGTTTGTGTGTTTTACGTGGTTTTTGGAATCAATGTTACATAGTTATTTATAAGTGCTCATGTAAGTTACCATGAGTCATCAGATCTGTCCTTAAGAGACGTTTATGAAACAGTCCTGAAATGTCTTCAACAGCTTCTCCCTACACTGTGACTGCCAACTCCGGTTTACATTTTATGGTACGCCTCCTTACAGGAATTAACCACGTCTTGATAATGCACCAGGTCGAGGAGCCCCGAGGGGTAATAAATGTTTGTCACCTGGTCCTTAACGGGAGTGACGTAGCCGTGATCCCTCCAGTCCACAGAACGTGGGGCCTCCAGGAAGTTGGGCTCCATGAACAAGGACCCACTGAACTTCTTCGCTGCTTTGAGCTTGTAGCCGTTCATGAGCTGCCTGAACTCCTCGTGAGTCTGTGGAGAGAGAGCCGAGTGAGTAAATCACACTGTCGATGTGAATTAAAACATTTCACAGACAGATCATCTAATGAGACTTGGAGATAAAAGAAAGGCAGAGAGCAGCTGTGGTTTATGACCGAGGTTAGTTATTAGTTCATCTAAGACAGATTTACAATTCGGTGCTAAAGTAGCTGAATGTTTCGGCAATTATTGTCAGTTATCTCAACATTTGTTTGGGTTTTCTTACGTCCATGCCC